TAATGGGTTCAATAACTTTTTTACCAGAGTTGGGGTGAACCTTGCAAACAAAATTTCACCATGTACATTCGACACTTATAATGCACATGTGACAAATTCATTTTTCTTGTGTGGTACCACGGCTCAGTGTCAGATATATTGAGAGGGTTAGATAAAAATAAGGCAGTTGGTTATGACCAAATAAATGCTAAGCTACTCATACATGCAGCAGAGTATATTTCTAAGCCCTTCTCTCACATTATAAATCTTTCACTCTCTTCTGGTTCGTTTCCAAATGCTCTAAAATAGCAACGATTATCCCTATCTTTAAAAAGGGAACTCCTTTTGACCCTGGTAATTATAGACCTGTCTCAGTACCCCAATTAAGTAAATTATTCGAGAAAATAATCAACAAACAATTAACTGTTTATTTGAATAAATTCAATATATTTTATTCCAAGCAGTACGGCTTTAGAGAAAAAAATAGTACAAAACTCTCTGTTATAGACCTAGCACAAAAGGTATTAGATGAAATTGATAAAGGGAATGTAGTTCTTGGAATTTTCGTAGATCTTAGAAAAGCGTTCGACACTGTTAATCACTCAATTTTACTTAGAAAATTATCTGGATATGGTATTCGAGGCCTACCATTGGACTTGATCGAGAGCTATTTACAAAAAAAGGAACAACATGTAAGTGTGAATGGTGTAACATCAGACTCGCTTCCAATAATATGCGGTGTTCCACAAGGGTCTGTACTTGGTCCTACTTTGTTTCTTTTTTTATGTTAATGATATAGCATTATCATCTGCGTACTTTGACATCCGTCTGTTTGCAGACGACGCCAGTCTATTTCATACATTTCAATCTGGGAACAGTATTAATCTACACTATGTTAATGAAAAGTTAAATCAAATAGTTGACTGGTGCGACTGGAATAAACTGACAATAAATACTAACAAAACAGAATATATACTATTCAGAGGTAAAATACAAAAGTAGTGACTTTTGGGAGTTTGACAATTAGAAACCAAAGCATTAGTGAGGTAAAGTGTACTAAATATGTTGGTGTGCTGCTGGACCCCAATTTAAACTGAAAAAAAAAAAACATATTGATCATGTTATGAGCAAAATAAGTGTCAAAGCAGGTATCATATATAAATTAAGAAAAATTGTTCCAAGGTCAACTCTATTATTATTGTATAACTCATTTATTTTGCCACATACTTCATATGTGTTAGAAACCTGGGGAAATGCCTATAAAACTCATTTACA